GTAAGTGTACCAGCATGCTTGAGAATATTTGATAAGATCTATTAGAAGTTGCCGACGGATGCTCGACAACTTGGTATGGAACGGTCGAAGCGTTTTTGACTTCTCCAAGCAAGAAGTTGATGATATGATAAAGTTGACAGGTAATAGTTGTCGGCGTCCGAGTGCAACATATACTGCGGACATTAACTTGATGTCGGAAAGTTGATGAACTGGTTTGGGCGGTTTATTGGGAGGGTTTTTAGATTATCTTGATTTGAGTGGTTTCACAACACCCTAGTTTATTGACCTTCGTGGTTGACCTGGTGTTATAACTAGGATGTTGTATATAGGAGATAAAGTTTAGAAGCGCCACGGGTTTGATAAGCCAGCGGCAACCACCCAAACCTCCATATTACTGAACACAATATAGGTGGTTACAGGAAATCCATAAATAAGGAGTTGAATTATCTCCACCCCATCGCAGGGGGGTACGAGGAAAGGCTTTCTATCAGCTACCAGCCAACGGGACTCGAATCCAAAAGAGTTCAACTCTTGTGACGTGCGACTTCCCGCTGCGAGCTTACCGTGAGCTTCCTCAACTCTACTTCGCTAACAGCACCGCGTCTTGTCCATCCTTTTCATTGGAGACCAGAACCCGAGTACTCCGTGGCTCCTGCGGATGAATGAGAGAAGCCTTTCACTTGTACCGAAAGAAAGAACTTCGCTGGTGCCTCCAAGGTTCTTGCGGACTTCCCGAAGTTTACGGGGAGTAGCGACAAACGAACTATCTACGCTGTTATCTGTCAGGGTAACCAGCTTGCCATTCAACGTGCTTCGTACGCGGTAGAGCTCTATCACTGGTTGGTCCCACACCACGTGAAGCCGCGGTGACATCTACCTCGTTCGTTCACCGCGACCCTAAGTGACCTAGCCTCGCTAAGTTCTGGGCGGCTCCGTCACCTATCGAGAAGTTAAATAGATGTAACATCAACAATCGTATAAAACTGCGTTGTCCTGATCCTTGGACTTGCCCTTGGGAAGTCTCTTGTGAACGCTACCGTCAACGCTATCACACATTACACTGCTTGAAAGCTCCGGTGGCTAGCAGCTCCGCAGGGAGTCCGACTGAGACTACAGCACTCTGGAGACCTTCACGGTATCCGTGCGTCTACTGTCGAGGTCGTAGCTGCGATTGCACCTAGAACAGCTTCCGCTACAGAGAATTTCTTGAAGCATGTCGAGCTACAGTTCAAGACTGGTACGGGAACTACAGCGGCCTTCGTAGGACTTCTAGACTCTGGGGCAATGATGCACGCTTGTTCGCCACAAGGATTGGATCTCCTAAGACGAGCCAATGTTATCGTCCTCCCTACGGGTCGTATCTGTAGTGCCAAACTGGCGGCTAGCCCACAAGTTTCCAATTGCCCGGTCTATCGTCTGGTGAATGTTCACAAAGGAATTGAAGTCAACACAGGGCTCGTGCTGATTTCGCACCTCAATCGCCCCTTTCTATGGAGCATCTCGGGCTTCCGGTCATATCCTCTTCCCACTCTCTGAATCTTCCCTCCTTCTGGTGATCGCTTAGTCAGTCTAGTCGACAAACCTGTGTCGGCTCAAAAGGCCAGGTATGACTTTTTACTAACCTTGGATCGAACATCGGTGTCGACGCAAGCTGAAAAGATCGACCAAGCGATGATCGCTTAGCGATCCCATTGGAGTCTGGTGGGCATGGACCGGACACCAGTTTCTCTTTGGTCAACGATCTGAACGTTCTGTCCATGGATCTTGAAGATGATGCTCCTGAGTGCACGGAGGGGTTCCTTGCGATCGCCTTCGACCATCCGCTCCCTGTGATACTCAGCCATCAATCTCCAGTTCAGTCCGTCGATGTTCTCTCCGTGAAAGCATCCCCAAAGATATCTGACTCTCCCGAGCGATTCACCCACCGCTGGGAGTTACTGAGTCATAACAATGCTGATGACGATGATGATGATGATGCAGGAGTTGATGCACGAGAGTTATACATAATTAGATATTTCCAGTAATTACCAAAGTTGTTGCTGAGTTGTAGAAATTATCATACTAGCACAACAGCAAAAGCCGCAGAGAATACACATTCCAGCTGTTAATATAATAGCCATTGTATGTGACTTGAACTTAGGCTTAAAATTTCAACCGAAAGAAGCAAGATGGCATTTTGCTCACTCCGAACATCACATGACATGACATGTCTTGTGCGAATCTTGCGCACTCACAACTTCTCATTAGTGTATATGATATAGTTGAGACTCTGCTGAGGGTCTATGACTCGGCTCCAGATCACCAAACACAATTACCGATACTCTTGCAGTGATACTTGAGTCCGGAATTGCAACCCGATTAGTGTATATGATATAGTTGAGACTCTGCTAAGGGTCTATGACTCGGCTCCAGACCAGCAAACACAACTTGTTGACTTCAATGCGCACCGGGGACCCCGATGCCCCCGATTCGGGGTGATAGTGGGCAGATCGGCCTGAGATCGTGAAAATTCGGGATCGCTCTCAACATCAACGATTTCACAAACCGTAGAGCACTTGAGGTCCGCGAGTTGGAATATTTCTTGATCAAAATGGGAGAGTTTTACCCATCGGTCGCCTAACCCCGTGTCGTTCGATCCCATCGACATGAGGAAGAGGGTGCCCTCCCCATGGAGGCTGGTCTACGAGGCCGAACAGGACCAGCAGTAGTCATAGGTCATGAGGTTCGTCGGGAACCTACTGTTGATACTCTGAAGAGTACTCTGACTAACTCAGTATCCCTTGCGCTCTAGTGCGCACCTAGGCTGCCCAGGCTAGGCAAGGTCTTCAGTGACTGAAGACTGAAGTTCAGTCACCTTCGAGCTACTTTCCGTCGCCAAAACCATCGTGCCCCGAGCAGACATGTACACAAACTACCATACCCTCGTCGTTGTCCTCTTGTGCCGTATTCCTCATGTGTATCATACACAGTGTATGATGATGATCTTTGGTGGCGATTATTGATATACCATTATCACGCGAAACATAAGACTGTTGAAGGCATACTCTAGCTTCGAGGCAAATTCAGCCCTATCAAATCAGCCCTATCGGCAAGGAGGCAACTACGAGTCCTCAATAGAATCAGGAACTCTGAGGTGAACTAACTGAATTGTAGGACCTGAACTAGATGGTCCGAGTACCATAGAATGATGTTAATATCAGAGAGTTTACACCAAAGTCTGCTTTTGGTGTGAGGATCTGTGTCCACGCATGTAGTAGATTTATGTGGACTTCTCTGAAACTCTCCCCACGAGACCTGAATTAATCACGCGCCTGTCATCATGACTGTGTCATGCAGACAGGTCATTGAGTCACTGAGACCCGCTAGTTTCTGTACGGATAATAACGAGCCTCTCCAACGATAACTACGAGGAAGTGATCACTACAACTCGATTCGTGTGTCCAAGCCTCGGGGTTGACTGGATTAAAGCCTGCAATTTAGGAGCCGCAGCAGTTACCAGGATACACTAAAACCTTGTAAAATAAATTGTAAAAAATGGAATTTTCCTTTCGGACTTACTCTGCACGGATTAGAAATGAACACGATGTCATTCATCATACTTGAGAATACCCATGGAGGAAACCAATTACTCCACGTTGAGGATAGCATCCGCAGTTCACGGGTCGTCAGTGACGGCAGTTTCATCCACCACAGCGTTCTTTCATGCAGTTTGCACGAAAATAGCATGCGCGTGTAGTAGTTCGTACCAGTGGCTCTTATTGGCATCAGTGGGATGCTACGTGGATACCCGAAGGATCTTCGAGTAACGGCGGGCCGGAGGCCCGCCTACTTCAAGGGTTCACACCTTCCGCGGGTGCGGACACTCGACCCGGATTGTGCGGACACTCGTCCCCGAGGCCTAGCGTCGTTCTTTGGACGCTTGTCGGGCTTGTGCTTTACACAGCTAATTGGCACTTCTTTGCCGTTTGCTCCTTTAGCTCTTCTGTAACTGAGCCTCCGAGAAGACGTGAACTCGGTTTTCCAATTCAACACTGTCAAGTCGGAGGGGCTTTCAGTAACGAAAATGCCTAAGTCGAAAATGAAGTCAAAAATTATTGCGCCACGTTTGAAATCAATCGCATTGGGCTCGGCATGTAAGCGGAGAGAAAGAGCAAAACATGCAAAGACGGAGGGCGTAAGGTGCCATAGAGCACCTTGGCAGCTACTAAGATTCGTAATGTAGCGGCCCAAAAGTGCCCTTGTGAAATCACCTCGCGTGAGGAGCTGAACTTTGCACCTCATAGGAATACTGCCCTTCACCTTGCCCCTAGGCCCCGGATTGTGGCCCTCATAGTAGAGCCTAACCGCCATAAAATTGCAAGACATCTCACGATTTCCGTCCGTGCCTTACCGAAGTTGCGTGGCCCGGCGGGGAAATTGTTGGTAGTTAAACGAGACAACAAATGGAATGGGTTCCAAACGAAATCAACTATTTGGGTGCGCGCTATTTGTACCAGCTTCCCTAATTGGTCAATACCAACTAGCCTAACGCAAAGACGAGCGTTGTATAGCTTGAGCAATAGTCAACGATCGTCCTCATATAGTGACTCAAGGACTACTAGTAATCAAACCAGTCTAAATCACTAAGTCTATTGCAGACGAGAATTAGTGGTTCTAACAGACCCAAGTAGCACAAGCAGTTCCAAGAACTCTACATCATTTCAAGAACTACTTGGTAAAAGCCAAGACCGAATTATCAGAAGCTCAGAGCAAATTATTATAGCCCAGAACAAATTAGTAAAAGCTCAGAACAGATTAGAAGATTCTCTGGTCAATTTTGTTGCGGTGTCACGCTGTGATGATTACGCAGACGCGAGGTTCTAGCGGTTCAAGATACTCTCGACTCGCCCGCTGATAGTGATTATGATGATGAAGATTGTGTATTACGAGTTCTGATATGTATATGATCGTATTCAGTTTTTGTTTCATCCATCAGAGTAACTAATTCATCCAGCAGTTATATGTCATCAAAGAGTAGTATTCAAGAGTCTGGTACTACAGCGGACCCTAGCAAGGCTATGAAAGGTCCGACCTGTCTTTCTACCGGGATACTGACCCGTTCTGCGGTACATCAAGAGATAGACCAGATAAATAACGAGGTCGAAGATCTCAGGAGACAACTCCAACAGCTCTCACAAGTCCGTCAAGAGCCAGAGAAGAAGGTTCCCGAGGCCCCCAAGTACGGCGAGAAGTTGGAGGGCAATGTGGATATGTCTGACTCTATAGTGAAGTTGAAGGAGGTTTTGTCCAACATTGTCCACCAGAAGGCGAGAACCTCTGTTAATGAACCTCACGAGGTTCCGCTACCCGATATTGGCGACATATGGTGTGGGCCAACACAAAAGGTTCCATATGGCTATTTCAAGTTCCAAGTCTTAGAACAAATAAGACTCTACAGCCTAACCGGTGCCAAGGCTGTCCACTACCTGTTACGATATGTCAAAGGGGCGCTACACCCCGAGATTAGAGAGCATGCATTGAAGACCAATTATGCTATAGATGAGATAATGCCTAAACTCGACGCTAAGTTCAACACCAAATGGAGAGATGAGAGCCTAGACTTTCGTTGGGAGTCAGCTGAGCTCTCTCAGAAGCGGAGAGAGTCGCCACTCGATTATGCAGCCAGGGTGAAGTTGGAGGCTATGATACTGAGCTCTAGATTGTGAGATCAACACTGGTGAAATAAGATCTCGTTTTAGGAGAGGTCTACTACTCAATGTTCGAGAAGAGGTGGCTCACCATCTCGGGCCGAGAATGGTGGACTTCGACGAGCTTGTCGATATTGCTGAGCACTTTTGGTCCCGTAACCCCGAAAGGGCTGATGGCTACAAAAGTGGTGGCAAGAAGAACCCGGAGGGTGTCATATGCTACGGGTTCAAGCGATCTGGTTATTGCCGTCGGGGTGATAGCTGTTGTTTCAAACATATCACTGAGAACAAGGTCGAAGCCTCCAAAACTGAGTTTCCAGCAACATCGAAGGATAAGCCCAAGACTGCCGTCTGATTTGAATTTATACCCATTGGCAAGTGCAACAGGGACAATTGCATGGTCAAGCACACCACACAGGAGACTACAGCTGTTGTCGTCGAGGCCCGTGATGGTGGTCGAGTTGTTGATGGATGGCTGGCTATTAGCCATGGTAGCTACTAATCTCCGAGCTTAAAACCCAAAAGATTGTCGGCGGTTAGAGCAAAACTGCGCTGTGAGGCGGCTCCGCTAGCGGAACCGTCGGCGGTTGTTGCTTTACTGGACACTGGGTCCTCGGTCAATCTGGTGAGAATTGCCTATATTGACAAGATCCCGGCATCTGTAGAGCACGAGCATGGTCATCCGAGCCTACGCCTGGCCGATGGGGAGCAGAAGATCGAACCGTTGGATGGTGTCTCACTGTCAGTCGACACTATGGAGTCGAGAGCAAGCATTTGGTGTTGGGTGGTGCCTACCCTTGCATTTGATCTAATTATTGGAACGCCTGGGCTGGTACAATTGGGTGTCAAGATCCACTTCAATAAGAATACTGTGAATCGGGTGCTACTCTCGGACCGCGATGATCCTGAATGTAAAATGCACCACTATGCAGATGACCACACGTATGAGTATACTGGGAAAGATGCTCTGCTATCATGTGGTGTGTCATCAGATCCCAACCTAGACTTAGATCATAATACTGAGTGTCAGTCGGTGTTTACCTGGTCGGATCCACTTCCTCTTGGAATACGGTCAGAAGACACTAATCAATCTTGGTACGAGATCGAGGACTTCCCTTGAACTGATCCGACGCTCAGAGCAACTGTGAATTTGAGGGAAGCAATGGGGAGGAGCCGCTCTATGCTCAACGGTCTATCCCAAGACAAGGCAATTGCGCTCCAGGAAGAGTTTCAATCTCTAGTGGACAGTGGGCGTGCGATCAGATCTCAGAAAACTGACTGCTACCACTTTATCCCGGTGATGCAGGTATTTGATCAAATTCGTTAATCTGGAAGTGTGGGCTTCACGCAACTCTTCTGGATCGATCCGGTGCATTCCATGGTATTCGGTTGGGGCACTCGTGCCTGCCATATGCAAGTATCTACGTCTTCGATGAGTTTTGGCAGTGGAAAGTCGTATCTCTGCTAGTCGCTCTCAGCATGCAGGTAAAACTACTCGTTGATTCTCAGGATTAATTATAGCAAAACATTGATTATAGCTATGGATATAAGCAACATTTTTACTGCACTGCTTGTGGCTAACCAGTTTCACACAGCGAAGATTCTCGTTTATCCATCGAGGATGGACATCCTCCAGTAGGAGAGCAGATATATCTTCACTATGATATGAGATCCACTAAAGTCGTCCTATACTCCAATAATGGGACGCATGTCTATCGGCAAACTCCGCGGAATGGACTTAGTGATACAGTGAAAGAGTTTATTGAACGAAAGATATGGGAGGCTGTGGTTAATCTTCCAACAATATCGGATAAACTGCAGAGGCGGATCTCAGAAGGAAAGATTACAGCCGACGAGAAGCCCGAAAACAAGCAACAAGCCAGACTTACTCAGCGATTTCCAAAACCCATCCTTTCTCCTAGGTGAAGAACTATCTTGGGAGAATGAAGAAGGCCACGAATGGGGGATCAGTGCAGACTACCAATGGTAGTCTGCACTGAATGATCTTATAGCCATAACCCAGTCGAATTCTACTGTGCCCAGCCACCACGAACGCGACAAAGCTTTTGTGGTAGGTGGACGGAAGTGTTACCAGGAATTGCATGTTTTAACAATGTCTAAGGATGTACTCCTGTAACAGTTGTTGAAATACTCAACGTGATGAATATTGAAATTTTCTGATGGATATTTATTTATTTTCATTTTGGGGTGCCAAAATGTTCAGCACCACGGATGTTTCGAGTTTAACACAATATATGTCGAAACGGAATACTTCGGGAGGAGCCGAAGTATTCCCTGCTGCTGCTCGGGTCATGTGTCGGTTCCACCTGAAGCAGAATATCGAGAAGTACCTGAAGAGAAGATAGGTTGATGATGATGCAGCGTGCAATATCTTACGCGATCTATCCTACATTCAGCTTGCTATAACTGAACAGGTATTTGTGGGGATGTTCGAGCTTTTTGCAGCACAGTATTGCACGGAATTCCCACAAGTAGTTGAGTATATACGGGAAAGCTGGGTCGAGAACCCACCATATAACACTCGGTGGGAAGGGGCAGCCCCTCGCCTTCCCTCTACCAATAACGGGCTCGAGTTTTTCCACCTTGACGAGTACTAACACCAGTCTTGACCATTGTGATACTGATATCTTGTATATCGAGAAGCGGTTGTGGTCCACAATAGACCGATGAGAGACAATCGAAGAAAATCTGAACCTATGTTCATAGCTATGAGTACGATCGATAGTCAGCCTTGCTGTCTTGCAGCAAGACTCTTGCTACTTCTCAATGGATCACGATAGTGACAATTCGAGATCGACTATCAAATGACCATGACGAGAAAATCAATTCTGATCATCGAATCTCCACAACGATCATTATTTCCCAACATCTCAATCATAAGATGCGGACTAATCGAGCTCCGCCCCTTCGTCACGAAGGCATAGTGAGCAAATCCCATTATGTCCGAAACTTGCCTACATCATGTAGGCGACATGTACGTGTACATGCGGTTAATACACTGCATATAATGGATGCACTTCAATTTTACTTGCATTATTTGCTTTTTTCATTGCACCGGTGAGAGCCCCCTATCCTTGCACAGGTGGCAGCTGTGGTATGTTTTATACCATTTGCAGCTGCTGCAATTACGTACCCGTGTTCACCGTCGCGAAACACTTTGACAACTCGAGCTCTAGCACTATTCCGGATCTTTTTGTAAGACGCGCTTCAAACCGATGGGTAGGACCTCGGCGGAGCCGCAGAGGGTGTAAGAGTACAACAACTCTTGGGCCTTGATGAAGCACGATTACGAGCAGATTCTACCCCTAATGCAGCTGAGCTGTTAGGTATGCCGTCCACTGATACTATGTTGGCCGATAAGGAGTTGGCTTCTGTATCAGACCCACCAGTATCATCGGTCAATTTAGTACCCCCTACCTCTTGCTCCTCTTCGATTATATGTCATCGGTGTGGAAGACCAGGACACTTTGCAAAAGACTGCCGTATGGACAAGTCAATTGTCTGTCGAAAATGTGGTCGACGAGGACATGTTAGTAGAGCTTGTCGTTCCCAAGTCAAATCGGGAAACGGACAGGGGGAGACTCATTAAGCTGCCGAGTCCTCCCCGTAACTGTCTTAGCTACACAAAAAGCTAGTCATGCAGCTTATCTACCACATATTTTGGTCACCATCTTCTCCAAGGAAGCGGTTGCTCTATTAGACTCTGGTTCAGTAGTATCACTATTGCAACGGAAAGTGCTACAAGGTCTTGGGATACGTGATCCTACTTATCACTTAGATACTCATCCGAAGCCCAGTTTGGTAACGGTTAACAACCAACCTTTCCAAACCTTGGGAACTGTATCTTTACCTCTTCAAGTTGGCACGGCTATTTACTCTTTACGATTCTTCGTGGTTCCAGAGTTACCAGCTGATATTATTCTAGGAGCGGACTTCTTACGTCTTTCAAGGTCGTCCCTTGATTTCGATTCAGCGTCGCTGACAAGTTCGTCACAAACAATCCCGTTTGTGACCTCGGTATCGTCTATACCTCATCATGTTCAAGCAGTTGTCCGAGAACCAAGTCCTTCACTGTACGATGATCGTCAACTATCAGTCTATCGCGAACCGTCCGGTCGCTTCTCTGTCTCCTGGCATTGGCCATGTTCCCCTCCAACATCATCGGTCGGTCCCGAACCTTTTCTTTCTCGTCTAGACGAGGCACATCAACGATACTTCCATGAGCAAGTCAAGTACTATATTGATAATGATATTATTGAAGAAGTATTACCGTCTACATTGGCTTCATTTGGCTCTGATTGCAACTTCCTCAAATGGTTTGGGGTTGCACAACGATCGACGTCCACCCCATCTCGACCTATATGGGATTTTCGGCCTATCAACGACTGTGTCCATCATGGACCCATGCGGCAGCAACTACTCAGCCAAGTTCAACAACAACTACGTCTCGGTCCAATCGTCATAGCAGTAGATATTTCTAAGGCATTTTTGGCCATTGGTTTGGAAATACCACTGCGACGCTTTACTCTCTTTCGATACCAATCGAAGGTGTATCAACATAAGCGTTTAGGGTTTGGAGCCTGTGTAGCTCCACATGCTCTGGAAATATGTCTCCGTCTACTCTTTCATGATGAAAATCTTCATGAAAAACTAAGGCAAGGTGGTTGGAAACTCATCCAGTATATGGATGATTTATTCCTTATCATGATGGTACCTTCAGTGACTTTGACCCCATCAGCGGCGGTGACATTGGTACTGCAAGCTCTACAAAAAGCTCAGTTCACAGTTCAGCCCAAGAAAACTTCCTTCTTATCGATTAAGCAAGCTGATCAATTACTTCTTGAGCAGGAGGAGAAAGTGGAGTCCGTTACTGAAGCCAAGCTGGTTGGAGTTCTCTATAGTAAAGAGCAACGAAAGGTGTCGTATCCTGTGGTGAATATACAAGCAGGCGTCTCAGCAGAACAACCTCTTACTCGTCGAAAGCTATTAGCTACTGTAGCCCAACTTCGAGATCCTTTACTTCTACGACCTTTATGTAGTGTGGTTACGAACTATCTCAAACATCTTATAGGCTCGATATCGTATGCTTGGGATCATCCTTTCCCAGATGACGAGTCTCATCTGTGGCATGGTCGACTAGCCCGTCTTCAAGAATTTAATGAAGTTGAGTCTTGTAGCTCAGTTGGTTGTATAGCTCCGTCTGGTATATTGGTGATATATGTTGATGCTTCAACTACTGGTTACTCTTGGTTAGCCTTCTATGGTACTCCAATGACGACACTCTCTTATATTGGAGGAGAGTATGGTATATGGCCACCCAAACATCAAGGTAAACATATAAATTACCTTGAACTTTTGGCGTCTGTTCGTGCCTGTAATTATGCAGACAGTCATTATGTTCGTACCTTTTATCCGGCTTCCATTTATCATGTGGTGGATTCACAGACAAGCTATCGTCAACTAGTTTCTGGACGTGCACATCAATCTTCCCATAGTGCTGCACTTTGTCAGAGGCAGTTAAGCTATCATGCTGAACTTGTCTCTGACGCTCATTGGCGACACTATAATATCGTCCTGGTTCCTACTAAGTTGAATTTGGCAGATCGCGGTACAAGGCTACAGTCGGTCCTTGAATACATTATGCTCGGTGGTCAGAGCCTAACGTCGTCTACGATTTTGGAGTTCACAGCTCCACCGTCTCTGTCAGCAAAGCAATTCCAAGAATTGCGTAATTTGTTGACCGCAACTACCACAACGACCAGTAATCCTTCACTACCGGGAGTCGATGGTACTTTGAACAAAGATCCATTACAACTAAATCCCATTGGCTTACCGTCAGCATCTTGTTTGCTACCTATCTGCCCGGTGGTCTCGAAGGAGGGAGAAGATCCATTATCTGTCCAAGAAATCAAGGAAGCGCAGTCTTCAGACCCTATATGCGTCAACCTACGTAATATTCTTCCAACTTCAACAACTTCAACTCTCGGCCCTGTCGATGTACCATCTTCGGTAATGCCCTATATCAAGTTCCGTCATGAACTGAAGCTTCAAGACGGTCTATTGGTTCGTAAGTATACTCCATACCCCTATTATGACCCTCTCAATCTCCCTATTATACCAACGTCCCTACGATCCCGACTTCTACAAAGTGTACATAATGACGGTCATTTTGGTGGAGATATCTTATATGATACTATGATAAAGTTCTGCTTCTGGCCTACCTTACGCTCCGATTGTATAGCATATGTCAAGACTTGTCCCGTATGTATTTTGCGACGGAAGAATGGCCCACCAGCACCATTACGATTACATTATGCTACACGACCCTGGCAGGTGGTCTCGGTGGATATCCTCACGATAGACAGCCGAAAGTTATTGACCCTGTGCTGTCATTTCAGCAAATGGGCCGTGGCTATCCTCATCCCTAACGAGACAACTTCTACGACACTTCATATTCTTACTCGAGTATTCCACACCTATGGAATGCCTAATGCTATTATATGTGACAGAGGTCCTAACTTCAATAGTTCCCTGTTCAGGGATACTCTTCACCGGTATGGAATAGATATACGATATTCCTCTGTGGCTCACCCTGCAAGTAATGGACAAGTTGAGCGGTTTCATCGCACCTTGCTGGATCGTTTGAAGACATATCTTGCAGCATCAGTAAACAGTAATTGGTGGTTGCAGCTATCCAGGTTGGTGTACCAATACAATATTATGAAGCATAGCTCTATTGGTATGTCCCCCTTCGAAGCTATGTTTGGACGGCAACCGCACTATGCCTATATTATTCCTACAACAGTAATGTCAACTAGCCTACCTCACGATGCTCTTCATGCAACTATCATCGATTATGTTAGTGCGCAATTAGCTGAGTCCAAGCATATTTACCAAAAGCACTTCAATAAGCAAGCTCAAGACCCCGTGGGGTATGCAGCGGGTTCGCGGGTGTTGATTTACTTTGACAACCTACGGTCGAAACTTCAAACCCACTGGCGTCGAGGTTTCACTGTTGTATCGAGGCTCGGGCCAGTTACCTATCGTGTCCGAGTTGACCAAACAGGTTACGTCTTTACCTGTCATGCAAATCGCTTATGCCTAGATACTCAACAAGTAACACCGAGTGTGACTAGACTTCGACCAGTACAACAAGCTCTACCGAAGAAGCCTACACCGCCCTCTCCTACCCAGAGGCCTCCAGAGTCACGATGGACGCCCTACTATGATGACTCTGATACTTCCGACGATGATCCAGTGGAGGTTCCGCAAGATAACCCCCAGTCTGATGTACCACTTAATCGAGTCTCGCGTTATGGTCGAATAATACGGAAACCACAACGCTATGGGTATCCATAATAATCAACCTTTCCCTCTAGAAGGGGGAAGACTGTAAACAATTGTGTTACTATTGTCCCGATTGTTCCACTTATCTTTGGAGCTATCGATCAATTGTGTGCTGTCCCTAAGCTGTTCTCTTCTACTTGTAACTAAGTTAAGTATTGATAGTCCTATTTTCCCTTACTATCCTCGGTCCTATCTACTGCGTTGGTTACAAGGGGGGAGTTCTTGGTTTTCCATATAGGAAGGGAATCGACAAGATTTCCTTACTAAGAAAATTTGCTGCGACATGAATTTACTTTAGTGGATTGGGGGTGGTTTATTATCGTATTACTTGAGAGCGTTAAACTAACCTTCACTGTTTTCATTATTTATTGAAACGATGCCAATGGCATGATGCCACCATGTTCAGCATGAGCAGTAGTTTGATAATACATTCGATTACGACGACGACGACTACGACGTAGTAATAGTAGTAGTGTTCTAATGTAGTGGGTGCTGTTGTCGATGTTTATGCTATAATGACTACTACCTTACATGGCCTTCATATGGCAAGTTGCCATCATCATCATCATCATGAGCAGCCGAGATTATCTAAGAGTATCTGTATTGGATCTCTACTAGGTGTACTAACTCTATCTATTCTAACAACATTATTATTATATTCATTCTCATATACACTTATCGATGATATATCATCACATATCACCGTAAATGGTTATGATGATCATAAGATGGTATCATCATCATTATTTCATAATGTTGATGATGATGATGATAACGATCCTTATGTGTTGGTACACAGAAATGCTACATGTGCTCATATTAGACGTATATTAAAACAATTCACTCATCTATCGACTATTAACGATCCAATAAGATCTCCTAAAAGATGTTTTAATTATTGTAACAATACTCACAGTTGTGAGGCATTTGTATATGTTAAGGATAAATTATGTGAACTCTATGACGGTGAATGCCCATATCCTAAGATTATTGGAAAACAACAACAACAACAACAAGAACAA